TTTTGAGTTTGCAACTCCAAGCTCTCTCCATTTATCAAGGAGTAAGCTGAAGCCCAAACTTGCTCAAAACTATACCACCTAATTAGCAAAGCAGATAATAAAATTTGGACCTCCTAAATTTCACCCAACAGATTTTTGTTAATTTCATTCATTCACTCCACAAATGGTTTTGTGCCTAATATAGCCAGACACATAGTAAGTGCCAAAGATACGGAGTATACAAGAGTTTAGTTAGTGGGAAAAGCAACAGGTAATAACACAAAATATGATGAAAGTGATGAAAAAAAGATATGGGCCCTGGAGGATGTAGCTCAGTTGGTTAGAGCATTGTCCTGTAACCAAAAGGTTGCGGGCTCCATTCCTGGTTGGGGCACATGCTTGGGTTGCGGGTTCAATCCATGGTCAGTGTAAATGACCTCCAATCCAGGAGCATCCAATCCCCAGTCCTGGCACATACAAGAGGCAACCAATGGATGTTTCTCTCTTGCTTTGATGTTTCTCTCCCTCCCTCCTCTCTCTAAAAGCAAGGAAAAAGTGTCTATCAGTGAAGATTTTTTTTAAAAAAGAAAAAGAAGAAAGGATATGGGGCCTATGGTGATGCAGCAGTACAGTCTGCTCTCGCCTTATCACCCAGTTCAAGTTAATCATGATCATGAATATACTATTGTTTCTAAGATTCACTAAATAATGTCCTCAAACCCCAGGGTACACATTTATACAACATTCATTAAGCACAAGTGCTAAACTATGGGGAAACAGTAGCAAAAATAACATTTACTGGATGAAGTCTTCTTGTATGAATGAGTTCTAAAATAGTCACTCACCCTTCTCCCGGTTCACCTGCAATGTGCAAGGGTAAGAAGGGGTCAAGGTCAGTAAGTCATTGGATGGTTAAAGGAGGTGGGCAGAAGTTGCTAGGTAAGTGACATCTCTGCAGAAAATAGGAGTCAGATATGAGCTTGAATTACTGGGGATATGGGAGAGTAAAGCTAAACTCAGGGTAGAGACTAGTCTTGGTCAGCAACATCCATGACACCATCCTTGGACAGCACTAGAGAAAGGAATTTACCTTTGTATTGGACATAAACATCGCTCAACTGGATCCACTGAAACCTGGGCTCTTTGGAGGAATGGCCTATTTCAGATCCAAAACAGGAAAAAATACAAGGTGAGCCTAAGATACCTTATTGGGCCAGAAAACAAGGAAACATTCAGAGTGATGCAGTGGTATCAGAAGGATTCAGGAGTCATGAAGTCATGAAGATAATTAGTAATTTTAACTTATTGAATAAAGCAAAATCCACTAATGCATAATGATGATGAAAATGATGATTGTGTATATGAGAGAGCGCAAGTGAGCACAGGGAGAAAGCCAGAAAGCCTTTCTTTATTCTTTTTTATAGAATGATGTCCAGTAATAAATGTAGGAAGATAGATAGAATTGAAAATCACCATTTTGCAGCCCCCAAGGCAACAATTGATTCAGACAGCAACAATCAATGGATCCCCAAGTCGCTGACTAAAACGTTATGGACGTTGCCACAGTACCACCCACCAGGTGAGAAGAGAGACTTGCTAATAGCCTTTTTATACCCTAGTGTCATCACTGATAATAGACGGTCTCACATTATGTACCTCTTGACATGAGGCAACAAGGACACAACTACTCCTATAATTCTTGCAAATGAACAGCGACTCTGATCAAACCATTAGACCCAACTTGTACTTTACAGAATCTACATAGGGAGAGGAATACAGAGATAGTTACAGAACAGAGAGAGAGAGGATCTAGTTAGGTTAACATGAAGAAACTGGACAAATTCAGAATGTAGGACATTCTAGCCTGAGTTCTTAAAAAAAAAAATTTTAAAAAAAAGCACTGTTCTAAATTAAAAGTAGTTAAGAGACACATAACCAAATGCCATGGGGGAATCTTGATTGGCTCCTGGAGTGGTGGGGAAATAGCTTTATAAAAGACATTCTTGAAACAGTTGGGAAAATTTGAACATGGCCTGGAAATTAGATGTTACAGAATTGTTAATTTTGCTAAGTGTTATAAAGTTTTGTGGTTGTTGGAAGAATGTAATTATTCTTACAGATGAACGTGTAAGTATGGGGCCAAGTGCCAAGATTATCCACAAATGGTTCAATTAAAAAATTATACATGTAACTATACAGATAATGTGGCAAATGTTAACCGGTGAATCTAGGTGAAGGTTATATATGTGCTCATTGTACTATTTTTTCCTGTAGTTTTTAAAATAAAAAGTTGAATAATAATCAATGTGATAAAAAAAATGTGAGTTGGATTAGAATGAAGTTTATTCCTCTAAATTTTACATTTTGGCATTTAAAATGTTTCTGAAGCATGTAAAACATGCACAATGCTAATGTGATAAACTGAAGTAGAAAATAATCAGATTCTAAAATAGCTTATAGCATCTGACCTTGATTTTTATGAGTTCCTAAAATTTTTTCCTGCATTTCCCAAGTATATTGTAATCATGTATTATTTTTATTGGAAAAATGAAACATTAACATCTTATTTTTCTATTTATATAATCATACTTCTAATTAGGGAAAAGTATAAGTTCTCAGTAAGATAGAATAATGCCATTAAAATAAAAGTTGACACAAACATTAACATATAATGGACCAGAGACCTAATAAAGGTAAAACCATGAACCTCTTAGAAGAAAACAAAGCGGTCTGCAACTTTGGGATAGGCAAAAATTTCTTAAGACACAAAAGTACAAATCATAAAACACTAATACATTGGACTTCATCAAAATTCAAAACTTTTGCTCCTCCAAAACCCTGCAAAGAAAATAAAAGAAGTCACAAACTGGGAGAAGACATTCATAATACAAACACCTGGACAAAGAACTGGCGGGCAACCTATCATCCCCTACCTGGTCCTCTAGCTTCCTCTCTAGCCCTATCATTTTCCGCGATAGCCAGGTCGAATTGTTTGCCTGCTGAAAACCCTCCTATGGCTTCCACAATATATGGAATTAAATCTAATTAGACTCCTTTGGTAAAAGGCATGCCCGCCCCCCTGGTTTTATGTTCTAGCTCCTGCTCCCCACTCACGCACTTCTTCTGGCCTCACGGGCCACTAGCCTGTTCTGCCCATAGTATTTAGAAGCTCCTTCCTGACTTAGGACCTTTGCACTTGCTGATCCCTCTGCCAGTGATACTTTTCCACCGTGTGGCTGACTAGCATCCTCATTGTCACATTCTCGCTGAGGCATTCTCTGACATGCCCTCTCCAGTCACTTAATCAATATCCTGTTTTCTTCACTCCACTTACCCTAACTGAACTTAAATTTTCCCCCTACAGAAAGGAAAGGTCCATAAAATGAAAAGAAACTTCAGTTTTGTCCACTGATACAAGCCCAGCATAGAGTGTGTGGAGCATGGTAGAGGCTTTTTAAGTATCACTGAATGATTCGTGACATACCTATGTTCCAGGCACTGTATTAGACATTGGCTCCAAGTTATGTGCTGCTGAAAAGTTTTTTTCATCTTTAGAAAAAATACTATATTCCTAAATCTATTTAAATAGCTGAATACTTCTTAGTATTCTCCAGAAGCCAATTTACTTGCAAGCAAATTGCAAAATGTGGATTTCATTTATATGTAGAATCAATAATGCCTTGGGCTAAATGGAAATGTTCACATTATTTTGAACAACTTACACCGACAACAAAAATGAAAGAAACAAAAAATATTATGTGCAAGAACGTAGCATAAGTAGAATTGTCATATACCACTGGTGAGTCTAAATTAATCCCTTTGGAATGCTGTTTACAATTATTTAGTAATGTAAAACATATGTATACCTTATGATTGAACTACATACCCACATGTATACCCAAAGGAAACACATACATGTGTTCCCCAAAAGACACGAACAAAAGTGTCCATAATAGTACTATTCATAATAGCCAGAAAGAACTCAAAGGTCCATCAACAAAAAATATATTAGTATGCATGCACACCAAGGAATACTATACAGCAATGAGGATTTAAAACCACAACTACACCCAACGTGGGTGTCTCTTACAAATAAAATGGTGAACAAAAGCAGCCAGGCACTGCAGTGCCTATGTTGGCTTCAGTTCAAAGTTAGCTGAGATTGCGATTATATATTCTCCCTGGTGTGTTCTGGTGGAGTGCTTCCCACAACTTTCCTACTGATGTTCCTTCTGAACTTGGATCCTTTAAGTATGAGGTGGCATTTGAGGATACAACCTAAACTGCCTACAACCACCACATTCTTTTGAAGTCTCATGTTTTGTATCTTAAAAATTCATGTGAATTCCCTGTTTTTCCTCCATGCATACTGAGCAAAAGAATTTACCTCAAAAATATTTAAGAAAATAATTTTCAAATGAAATGGGCCACAGTTGACCCAGTGGTTGCAGTAGTCAGACTTCAGTTTAAAAAGAACTGGTGGAGCCAGAGTGAGGCATGGGGGTAGGGGTCAGACTGGAAGAAGTGAAGGGATCAAGAAGTGTAAATTGGCAGTTACAGAACAGTCACGGGATGTAAAGTTACACCGTAGGGAATATAGTCAATAATATTGCGATAACTATGTCAGGTGCCAGCTGGGTACTAGAACTATCGAGAGGAACACTATGCAAAGTATATGACTGTCTAACCAAGAAGCTGTACACCTAAAACCAACACAAAATAATATTGAAAGTAAACTCTAATTGAAAAATAAAATAAATAAAAAGAACTGGTAGAAAGTAGATTAGTTAAATAGCCTGGTTCATATCCCAGATTCACCACTCACTAGCAATGTGACTTTGGTCAACTTACCTAGATATTTTCAACCTACTTCCTTGTTTCTCTACTGAAGATAGTAACACCAATCTCACACAAATGATTTGAGAATTAAATGAGATGACGTAAGTTAGATAGCAAATGCTACTAGCTTTTCCTTCTCTACCTATATGCAGTACTGGGGTGGAAAAAAAGTCAACAAGCTGTTTGCTGCAATATATATATTTTAATTCAAAGTGAATCGACAGTTAATACACCATAAATTCTTATTTTGACACTCACCAAAATAGTCACCTGGAAAACCCGCTTTTTGTGACAAAGTACAGAAGGCTTGGTCACATTTAAATCACTGAGAACTAGAGAGAAATACTATCGCAAACTGTAATAGACATTACATCCATAAAAATTTTCCCAGTCCTTATTGTAATATTGCACAGTGCAACTGCTACATGGCAAACTAGTGTAGCATAGAAGTAAAAGCAAAAACAAACTAACCAAAGAAAGAAAGCCACAAGTCTAAAATTATCAAACAGTTAACAGTTCAAACTTAGTAATCAAATCTATCATTGGGTTTTGTTAAAACAAATCCTCCTACACTTGCAGTGTATGATTTAACTTTTACTTATCGCAAACCAAGTTTAAAGTTAGTAGTAGAGATTTTTAAAAATGAAAAGGTTTTGCTACTACAGTAACATACTTAAATACCCTGAAGAAAAAGAAAACTAAATATCAGGATATTTGATAAAAAAAATTGTAAATCAAAATAATATGCAAATATGTAACTTGAAATTCATGCAGTGTTTTATTTAAGAAAGCATTAAAACCAAAGAAAACTGGTTAAAATGGCTTTAAAGAAGGTATAAATCCAGATTTTTTTTTTTGTCAAGATGCTTTAGGTTTTCACAGATTTTAACAATTTTTATTTTTAAATACATAAAAAACCCATGATTAGAATCAGTTAAGAGCAATGTACTTAACTGGGGTATGCCTTTATCGACATTACTATTATGAAAACACTGAAGGTTACTGTTTGCTGTCTGTTTAACAAGACCATCTCAGTCTTGGAAGTGAAATACAGGAAATAGGACATTTCAGGGTAGTGAACATGGTCCTGAACAAAAAGCAAACCGCACCAGGTTTGTACCTTCTGTGGTACGAGCATCAATCAATCAATCCTTTGCACTTATTTCTGAAACATCTGCTGCCAGCATTGATTCTTTTCCAAAAAGTGAGCACATACCAGTAACCTGCTGGACCACATAAATAAAACTAGAAGGCTGTGGAGGACAACATTTACTTAAATAGTAACTCCATACATTGCCATCTGTAAATAATCTTTTAAATTAATCTTAGGCTACTCCTTTTTTATGTGTAATATATATTTCTATTTATATAAAATGCATAGAATTGATTACTAAAAACACTGAAACTTGTGGGGAAAATTAAGTCCTTCATTTTCAGTGTGACTAAAAATGTACTGCTGGTTTTTATTTTATGACCTAATACTGTAATTTTTAAAATCAATTTCAGGCACATTTATTTCATTGATGATTATTAAATAAAACACTGCTTGTGTTAATGGAGTAAAGAAAAGTTTGTCCATTATTAGCTTATTGTCAACGATGTACTAGAGCTGTACTAGTGGTATGCAATTCATTTATCAAAGAAATGCTATAAATCCAAAACATTTGGAGAGTTTTACACTCAAATGCTTTGTACTGTTTATTCCAGTAAATGCTGTAAGATTATATTCCAGATTTTTAAGGAAAAAAAGTTAAGTCAAGCCTGCAAGATACAGCTTTCTCAAGTGTCTACAATGCCAGTATGAAAATAAAAAATTAAGTTACATTGATACATCCAAGTTTTTTATATGCAGTGATGAGCACAAACATTAATAGAGATAAAATACTGATGCAATTAACACACCCCAAAATAACATATGCAATTATTTTCCATCATTTACAATACAGTAGTTACAATGACACTCCAAACAGAAAAGCAAAGTAAAAAAATCAAAACCCCAACTTCTATTTCATGTAATTAGACTTATACAGAAATTAGAAGGCTAAATAACAACTAGTTAATCACCTAATTTCACAGCTATCTGAAGTGGCAATCGTTATATAGCAGCTTATCTATGATACATTCAAGATAAATGATACAATTTATTACTTGCCCATAAGCTAAAACACAGCCTGTTTAATACCTTTCCTTAAGTTCCACCTGTACACTACAATATACTTGAGGTCTATGCAAAAAGTAGCTACCTTTTATATAGGAAATGGATGATTAAGTCTTTGGTGCTGTAAAAGCAACTTCATTTAAATATCATCACCATCACCAAAAAAACAAACAAAAAGAAAGAAAGAAAGAAAGAATAAGAAAGGAAAAACCCAAGACACACTTCCTAGGAAGAAAAGCATGTAATTTCTGTCCCTGACGGAATGTATTAAATAAGCAAACACCACCAACAAGCAAAACAAGTACTACAATGTAAAAATACTTTTAAAAAAACAACAACCCTCTCACATGCATAAATGAAAAAATTGCACACAAAGAACTCACATCTTTTCAAGCTTCAATAGTAAATATTCTGCTACTACTTATTAAATACTGCATGGTTTGCCCAAGCTAAGGTGAAACCACATCATGAATCAATGAGCAATTTGCATTTTCTTTCATTATCTACTCAAAGTCATGCCTACTGCACCTCTAAATATTTTATTAAACCCAATTATACAGCAAACACTCCCAAAATAAACTTAGATTGTATTGCAGTTACTTAACAGTATATAAAATGCTGTGTTGTGACAGATATCAACTATCCATTAGATACTGAATCAATTTTTCTTAAGCACTACTAACTGCTTGCTTTTCTTGAAGCTAGATCATTCTGAAAAATCAGACAGCAGAATTCAATTCAGCTATAGCAAACATGCTGCCCTCTTAATAAGGAAAAAACAGCTACAACCTGAAATCATACCACACAAAACCAAAATGAACATTACTCTATTAAAAGAAAACTAAAGAGTAGATCTGATTTTTAAGTGCTGCAGTCCTCAACATTTATATATAGGTAATAACATTAACAACCTCAAATATTTAAGGCACTATGTGTGGGAACGGTTTACAATGCAGCTGAGATTATTAGAACAACATTTAAGAGCAAAGTTTAGGCAATATTTTGCCCATGCAAAGACACATGCAAATGTAAAGAACAATAGCTCAATTTCTCAGGTAAGTGACCCAACATTTATACACTAAGACACAGATAATACAATTTTGTATGCTGAAATTCTGACATATGTGCATCTGTTGCTCTAAGTCTGTACACAGAATGGCTTCCCAAATGTGGACGTGTCTTGCACTAGTTAGAAGGCAATTTTATAAAAAATAGCAGGAGCAAAAGTGGACTTCTGCTCCCATAAGTCACCTGTCTAGAGTTACTACATAAGAAGATAACATGACCAAAGACAAGTTATACCAAATGTGCAAAACACATTAAAAGTGAGTTTTTTTAAAGCTCAAAGTTGTTTAAATTGCACCCAAGTCTACATGATTCAAAAATAATTTTCTTGTGCCATGGCTAATATTTATTAAATACCATGTTTTTATTTTTAATCAAATGTTTCTATCATTGAGCTTCCTCAATATGCTCCTTTTGAGTTTTCACATATATGGATACTGGCTGAGTTTTGTTGGACTCAATGGAAATCCAGTATATGCAGGTGATGCTGCAATGTAAGAATGTGGTGGGAAGATTGGTTTGTACTGAGTCTGATGAATGGTTGGGGATGGTAACAGACGGGGATTTATGCCCACTGGGACCTGGTGAACTATGCCACTAGGATGGGAGATATTATAAGTTGGATGCTGTAACACAGGTCTTGAGGTACATGGAGAGGCTAAGAGGTGGGCCACTGGTGCAGCACTAGTGAGGGCAGCTGATGATGGGTAAGGAAGTAGAGTGGGCTGTCCTCCGAGGTGCGTGCTTCCAGCCAGGTGCGCGTGCACGGCTGTGTGGTTGGGACTTCCGTGAGACAGAGTGAACGGATTACTGGTAACACTAGTAGAGATGTAAGCATGCTGTCTTCGATGTCCGAAGTTTCCATTCCACTCTTGATGCCCAGATCCAAAATGCTGAGCCTATTCAAAACAAATAAACAAAAAACACGAAATACATATTCAAAAGTTAAAAAGGAAGAAACGGAAATTACAATAAACTCTGTGACCGATAACCCATAAAAAACCTCTCAGATCTTAGACTGTACTAAGTATAAAGAGAAAATTAATGATTTTATATATTAGTAATAACATTTTAATATTTACTACTGCATATTATGATATAAACATTGCCTCTACCACTGCTAATATTTGTATCACTACCTCTCCACCACTACTAATAGCCACCACTTATGAAGCACTTATCATATGTAGGGCTAACATTTACATGCAAGGCATTATTTAATTCCAAAATAACACACGATATAGCTATTACTCCCATTGGCTGTGGTCTACATTGGCTAAAGAGATATGGCCAAGGTGATATATATAGTATGTGGCAAAACCAGGATTTGGACAAAGGTTTTACTTCGACAACTATGATCTTTTCTTTCCCCAAGTGGAAACTCAACTGCTAAGCATAGTGCTGAATACGGCATCTCTCACTATCACCACGACTAACACACAGAAATGTAGCCATCTGGCCGCCATATCTGAGTCTCCATTAACCTGGCTCACACTGCTCTCCTCGCCCTGGTGATTCCCTGAGACACCAGCCCACCAAACTTGCAGACCCACCCAAGCTGTTTCCAGTGGTTTTTCCATATGAATGGCCCACCTTGGCTCATGCTTCAGACTTTCCTAAAATCTTTCAAACAAGCAGCATCTGGCCTCAGTGCAACCCATACCTCTCACTAAGGGGGCCCAGGCCTGGCAGTAGCAACGGCAGACCAAGGTTCGGAGCTTGGCCTCTCCTGGGAACCTCCAACCTCAGCTCATGTAGCAGCCATCTGCAGACTGCTCTGCAGCTCAAGCCAGGGCGTCCTGGGCATAACATAGGCAGCGGCTGACCTTGGTTTGCACTTTCCAGGAAGCCCCAGAGCCAGTACACCCAGTGGACAGCTTCAGACCACATCAAAGCACTACCCACAAGCAATACACTCAAGGGCCGAACTCAGTGGACACCAGAGCCCTGCTGAAGTAAATCCTGCTCTGTGGGGTGGGCCCCTGCACAGCTGATTGGTCATGACTAGTCCTCGCAGCCAATTGGCTTGTGGATAAATTCTTCCCACTGACGTGCCAACAGCAATCAGAGCTCAAGTACAATCCGAAGATGTGCACAGCCCACAAGGGGACAAAGTGCATACCTAGAGTGCCCAGCTTGGGTTATCAGCGAGGCTGTGCCACTAGACCCTACAGGACACCTACTACATTAGGCCACTCTACCAAGCCTGGGGGATGTAGCAGTTCTACCTAATACGCAGAAGAAAACAAGGGAGGAAATGAAGAGACAAAGAAATACATTGCAAATTAAAGAACATTAACAAAATGGAAACAGAAAAAGAACTAAACAAAATGGAAATAGGCAATCTACTAGATGCAGAGTTCAAAACACTGGTTACCAGGATGCTCAATGAACTTACGGAAAGAGTAAATGAACTTAGAACTTCAACAGCAAAAAAAAAAAAAAAAGGGACACAAAAGCCATAAAAAAGGACATGGAAACCATGAAAAAAAATCAGAAATGAAGGTTACACTAACTGAAGTAAAGAATAATTTGTAAGTATTCAACAATAGAGTAGATGAAGCTGAGAAGCCACTCAGAGATTTGGAATATAGGAAGCAAAAAACTCCCAATCAGAACAGCAAACAGAAAAATGAATCCAAAAAAAATGAAGATAATGTAAGCAGCCTCTGGGACAACTTAAAATGTACCAACATTCACATCATGGGGGTACCAGAAGGAGAGGAAAGAGAGCAAGAAATAGAAAACCTATTTGAAAAAAATAATGGCAGAAAACTTCCCTAACCTGGTGAAGGAAATAAACATACAAGTCGAGGAATCTCAGAGTCCCAAACAAGATGAACCCAAAGAGGTCTATACCAAGACACATCATAATTAAAATGCAACAGATTAAAGACAAAGAAAATATCTTCAAAGCAGCAAGAGAAAAGCAGTTAGTTATAAGGGAGGTCCCACGAGACTGTCAGCTGATTTCTCAACAGAAACTTTGCAGGCCAGAAGGGAGGGGCAAGGAATATTCAAAGCAATGAAAGCAAGGACTTACAACCAAGATTACTCTACTCAGCAAAGCTTTCCTCAACAGATAAAGAGCTTCCCAGACATGAAAAAGGCCAATGGAGTTCATCACCATACCAGTATTATATTATAATAAATGTCAAAGGAGGGAAAAAAAGGAGGGCGGTGGGGGGAGGAGAAGAGGAAGAGGAGGAGGAGGAGCGGGAAGGATAAAAAATATGAACACAATGGCAATAAATATGTATCTACCAACACATGAATCTAAAAAAATAATATATAAGGCCCTGGCTGGTGTGGCTCAATGGATTGAGCACCGGATTGCAAAGCAAAGGGTTGCCAGTTCGATTCCCAGATAGAGCACATGTCTGGGCTGTGGGCCGGGTCCCTAGTTGAGGACACTCAAGAGTCAACCACACATTGATCTTTCTCTCCCTCTCTTTCTCCCTCCCTTCCCCTCTGTCTAAAAATAATAAATAAATTAAATCTTTTTTAGAAAGAAAGAATAGAAAGAAAGAAAGAAAGAAAGAAAGAAAGAAAGAAAGAAAGAAAGAAAGAAAGAGAGAAAGAAAGAAAGAAAGAAAGAAAGAAAGAAAGAAAGAAAGAAAGAAAGAAAGAAAGAAAGAAAGAAAGAAAGAAAGAAAGAGAACGAACGAACAGAAACAAACTCAGATACAGAGACCATTTTGATGTTTGCCAATGGGAGGGAGGATGGAGGGGACAGGTGAAAATGGTGAAGGGATTAAGAAGTACAAATTGGTTGTTCCAGAATAGTCATGGGGATGTAAAGTACAGCATAGGGAATATAGTCAATAATATTCTAATAACTATGCATGGTGTCAAATGGGTACTAGATTTATCAGGATGATCACTTAGTAAGTTATATTGTATGATATCTAATCACCGGGGTATACACCTAAAATTAACAGAATATTGTATGTCAATTGTAATTGAAAAATAAAAAATGATTTAAACTGAAAAAATGTAGCCATCAATCCATTAATGTGCATTCTGAATTAAAGTCTATGAAGACAAACTAAATATATTTAAGAGAATCTAGGAACTTAATTTTTCTAAAAGTATGAAGTTTTATGGATAAACTGCTTAATTATCCTATTATCAGATATATTATTCTTTAGTCATTTGGGATAATAAAAAAAGTAAAATTTATTAAGACTGCACACAGTTTCAGAATCTTTTTTCCCCCAAGTGAAATACTGCTGAATTTAAATCCCAAAGACTCTTTCTTATAAATTCACAAACATACCTGACTGAAATTCAAATGCTGCTGCTGGAATGCTGATGTCAGTTTTTGCTGACGATTACCCACTGTGGAAGGCTGGTTCAACCTTCCAGGAGCAGATCGTCCTTTTATTAATGGCTGGCATATAGAATCTGGCAATGAACAAATAGTAAAGAGTTAATGCTTTTTCTTTCTCATATAAAAATTACAAAGGTCTTTAGATATTTTACACAATAGTGATTTGAGAACCTTAAAATTAAATGATCAAACTGGAAATTTAGAGATGATTCTTGGCAATGCTGTTCTCTGTGTTCCTAAATTAAAACTTTTTAAGGGGCTATCAGGAAACAGAGGGGACTCAGTTTACCTGTGTTTGCCATATGCTCATCGGCAATTAATCCATTTTCTAATCCCATTGGTGGCACCACAACAGTACAGACAGCTGGTTTGGTTTCTGTGTTGGCAGAGGTTCCCAGTTCTGCATTTTGATGAGTGTCCTCTACAAAACTGCTCTCTGCAAATGGACTGTCATGTCCCGAAGAGTCTGATGTTGGAGAGCCATCCACAGTATCACAACCACTTTCCTGCTCTTCATCTGACATACTACACCAAGAAAGTATCTTTATGAATAATATGTTTTTCACATTAAATCCAAAGTTAAATACTGTTGAGGCTCCAGCAAATAGGTAACAATCTTATTCAGTTACTTCATATCTAATTACTGCCTTGTTTAATAACATTTTTGTCCTAAATTTTCTAGGCTCTCACATTAATTCTCTACTCAGACTGCTAACTCCAATCCTGTACTATTTAGAAACATCCTTTCAGCCCTGAATTTTGTCTCCCTTCTTTTCTCATTTGATCCTTAGTAGCAGTTCATATATCCCACTTTATATATTCTAGAAAATTACATCAAGATACTAGAATAGCAGCACCCTTCTGGATAATTTAAATAACATGTACAAACATTACAAATATTATGGATATTTCAGATTAAATTCTAATGTTTAGATATATTAAACATTAGTAAGTGGTATGTAATTTGGGTCCTTTTTAACTAACCAATTATCTGAAAGGTCCTCTGAAAGCCTAGCTAGAGTCCCATTATATCTCTTCTCCTCTGGACCTTTTCAAGCCCTGATAATATCTCTCCTTGGGATTTCTACAGCATTTATTGTCCCTCTTAATCATTCATTTCATACTTAACAGTGTGAAGCACCTCTTTTTATATGTATGTTTTAGTTACATATTTTTATTTATATATCTTAAACGTATATGTGTATATAAATGTATTTTCATATGTATGTGAATTATTTATGTATATGTGTAATATTAACTTCCAAAACCATTATAAGCAATATAAAAGGTATGTTAAAATTTCTTTATATCTTCCACAGAGCTTTGGTTATAGATTTTCAATGCCATTATTTCCTCACTAAGGGAAAAGAGAAGATAAATGTATAAAATTAAGACCTAAAATTTATTCAAATTTTATTTCTAATTTTAAAAATAGAAATTTCTAAAAGCAAAAATCAAATGTAGTTCACTGGAATTTTTGTGGCCCATCACTTAATATGTTAGTGCATCGTCATGCTGGTGAGGGGAAGCTCACTACTTTAGTGGCAATCCATGTTCCTGGACAAAAAGGAAGGAAAGGCAAGAAAATAATGGATGAGGCTGTGCTAATCAATTGCCAATGAGAGAAAAGAATCACAACAGATTTTTCTACTAACAGTGGGTTATCACTTTATTATGCAAAACATTCTTTTTTTTATTTTGCTAAAGTTTATGTTCTTACTCAAAATTTAAGTTAAAATAGTAATCTATGGAGCTGAAGTTGAGAATATGGCTTTTTAACCCTTTCAAAAACAAACGATTCTTTAAAAAATCATTTATTAGAACGTCAATTTTTGGTTTAGATCTGTTCTATAACAAATAAAATTACTACGTAAAACTTGAGTTATAAAAATTGATTTAGTTCAAAAATTATGTTCAAGAGAGAAGCCACTGTAGTAAACTGGCAGGTATTTGTTAATTTAAACACAAAAGAAATCATAGGCTTATTAGTTGACTTAATATTTATTACATACCACCACTGAAATTCCTTTACCTGTTAGGTCTCTTGCAAGGGGATGGGCTGGACTGCCCTGAGGAGCTGGTGCTCAGAGTACTATCAGGACTACTTAATGAACACATCCGATCGATATTCAAAGTGCTCTGGCACGCTTCGCAATCTAGGCTTCCTTTACATCTAGTGAAAGAGAGAGGGAGGAGGAAAACAAAAACATTAGAAGATACTCCCCAAAGAGCCCAAAATTAATCTATTTAATTAAGAATATGAATCGGTTAAGAGCAACCCACATGGACAAAAATCTAAAGCTTATAAATACAGGAAAAATGTTGTAATAACCATGTTAAATACCATTTAGGAAGTTTACTCCAAAAGACACTGACAAGGACTAAGTCATGGAAAGTTACTTTTCACCACACCAGGGGGCACCATCATTATTATTTAAGGATGCAGCATAAACACAGGAAACTGCTTTTGGCACTTACTCTCTGAGAGAATGTCTCTGTGTCGTCTCTTCCTCATCAGTGTCACTGCTAATAGTGATCACACTCACTGCAGGGCTTGGGGAGTCAGCGATGATGATGGTTTGCCGCTGTTTGTCTGAAACTGATGAATCAGAGTCCTGCCTGACAGATGTTTCACAACAATTTCTTGCCTCTCCTGAGTTATGATTGTCCTGTGTCTCTATACAACTTACTTCCTCGACATCTTTCCCATTTACTATCTTTGGAGAAATAAATGCTGAATGTGGGATATTGGTATTCTGCAACGCATTACTCCTGCAATCAAAGAAATAATGTGTCATTTTTACAATCAAAATAAGCACATGACATTTTTCTAAGAACTCTTGTTAAAATGAACAATGCAAACTGTCACTTGGTTCAAGATCATGTATATAATACACTAACATACAGATCATAAGTTTTGTGAAATATAAAATATCTGTAGAAATATCAATGTAGATTGCATTATTACATTCAAATGGTCAGTATTTTTTGGTAAATGTGATAGCTGAGTGTCTAAAATTATAGGTAGGTTATAAACAAAAGGGCAATAAAGACAGTCTTACCAACTGAAAGCATTTATTTCCTCTCTTCCTGGCTCCCATTCCATTAGTTTTACCAAAATACCTCTGAGAAATTGAGAAGGGAGCTGGCTTAGTGTTTGCAACAAAGCTATCAAAGAGGTCATTTTGAATACAACAGAGTGACCCTTTAGCGTACATGCAATATTTATCTTAAAGATTAATTTTCAAAATGCAGAGCAAAGTTAAAATATCAACACCAACCTGTTCTGACATAGTTTATTTTTCTTGGTAGTGGCAGGCTGAGGCCAGACAACATGTGCAATGCCCACACTAATTGGCTGAGGAGCTGATAAAGTTATCTGATTGGTTAGAAGAGGTTGCGGCATCACTGAGCTAAAGTGATTGCTGTGTGAAATCATTTTCCTAGGGAGAAAGTTTAGAAAAATTGAATTCCCTTTTTACCAAGAGCTATTTTGCAAACTAGTCACAAAGAAGTAGTTCTGTTTTTAACTTACCCCCAGTCTCCAAGTCTTTGTGAACCAGCCACACCCTCAGAAGTTAATGTAGCAGTAGCAGGGGCCAAAGGTGTTACCTGTTGCCAGGCAGGCACCAGCATCTGCTGTGTTCTACCAGACCATGTCTGCTGCACCCCCAAAAAAAGAAACAGAAAAACTAGTAAGTTACAAGTGATTCTTCATTATTAGATCTTAAAATAAAAAATACATTAAACAATCATTTACTAATGTCAAAGTTAAAGTCAATAATCTACAAAGGCTTTAATTCCCATCCAGGTCATTTTAATTGTTTCCCAATATCACAGGCTATTTTACCAATGGTTCATTCAATGCCTCTACTTGAGTATAAGGAGGACAGTACATAAGCAAAAATAATGAATTATTGCCAACCTGAGAAAGAACTCCTGGTCTGATCTGTAGTGGTTGCACAGCTGGGGCCTGAGTTACAAGTGGGACTGTATTATCTACCCTTATTGAATAACTAGTGGGTTTACCATGTGTTGCAGGAATACCTGTGAAAAAGAAAAGAATAGTTCTCAAACATAAGTTAACTCAGAGAAAGAATTTTTTCTTTTAAAACTTTTAAATTGAAACAATTGCTAAATTATGACTAGGATTATAAAATTATCCCCTACATAAAATTTTTATAACACTAGCAAAGCAATCTATTAGGAAAGTGAGGTGCATTTTATATATTTTGTGGTACATTATTCCAAAAGATGCTGTAAAGCTACTCTTTCTACTATTTTAAAATGCATACTACAAAGGTGAATCATTTATTTTTCTTGAAACTTCTCATTCCTTTCAAAGTTTGCTATTATAGCTTTATTTTTCTTTTCAAATACTTGTGCCACTATCATAAAGGACACGGGAAAGGTGAATCTGATTCAACATCCTGGTCCTCCAGCAGGTTCGCTTTTTCATGCAAATTTTTAGCTATGTCTAGCATTCTCTTCTTCAAAATTTTAATAGGCTCTTACACTCTTGGCACCAAAGGGACTGTATCAGGACTCCGCACTTCAACGGCCATGATGGTTTACATGCTTCAAGAAAATTCGGAATGGCATACTCATTTCGACCTCCAAAGGAAAAGCAAAAAATAACCTTTTCTGCCTAGTATAATGATACAACTATGTTTTGGTCAATGAGGTTTAATCTACTAGTATTTCCAGTAGAGGGCTGCTAGAACTCCAGGTCAAATGTATTCCATTTTGTTTACTGGCTAGGAAAATTGGAAAGCAGGATTATTAGCCACGTGAATCCAGTTAATGTTAGTATTTCTATGCCATGCATTGCAAAGGGATTTTGTAAGTATTAAGTCTTCTGATATTAAGCTTTCAGACAGTAAAGTAGTATGACCCTAACTTAGAGCTTTGACTAACAAGACTTTACAGACATCCACCCAAGATCAGAAAACTTAGTTATTAAAATAAATTCACTTTCATAATTCCAGTCTGTTGTAGCAGTTACTTTCAATATAGAATATTAAATAAATATCTTATTTAATATAATCAATTTTAAGATAAATGTGATCTTAGGTATCTCCCATAAGCCTTAAGAGGAAAATACAATTGTTTTCTTTTTCTATTGAAAAATAACTTTACGTGGGGGAGAGGGGCAGGGGAAAGTGGTGGTGGGAAGGTGGAAACAAATGTATTTGAACAAACATAAATTTAAAAAAAAGAAAAAAAACTTGGCAATTTTTATTACACGAGTATTTTTTAAGTGTTAAGCCTCAGGAGGAGAATACTATGCTAAGTGAAATAAGTCAGACAGAGAAAGGCAAATACTGAATAATTTCACCTATATGTGGAGTCTAAAGAACAAAATAAATGAATAAACAAATAGAAACAGATTCACAGATGCAGAGAATAGACTGATGGTTGCCAGAGGGGAAGGGGGGTTGAGGGCCTGGGTGAAAACGGTGAAGGGAATAGGAAATACACATTGGTAGTTACAAAATAGTCATGGGGATGGATGTAAAGTATAGCTTAAAGAGCATAGTCAATAATATTGTAATAACTATGTCTGGTGTCAGGTGGGTACTGGAAATATTGGGAGGATCACTTCGTAAAGTATATGATTTTCTAACCACTATCCTGTACACCTGAAACTAAAACAAAATAATGTTGAATGTCAACTGTAATTGAAAAATAAAATGTAAAAAACTCCTAAAGAAAATGTTAATTTTGTTGTGTTTATCTTCTTGACAGGAGTTTATCATACTGCTAACGTGTTCTCCCCTCTGAGCTCTGCACTAAGAATAAGATATGAATTAAGTTTAACAAATATCTACAGATTATTTTTTTAAAACTGACTTTCTTGCCCCTTCCAAAAAGCATATCTTGATCAGGAAATTCCCCAAGAAAAGGAATATAAGCACACCCAGACAGGGTAGATATATTGCAGCAATAGACAATCTCATTAGAGAAAAAGGAAGAATTCACTTTGATAAGGATTAAAAGACAGAACAAATTCTCAAATCCCAACAAAAATCATAGTGCCTTTAAATTTTCCTCATAATTAATATCAAGAGAATTCTCCTATTATCTTCTCTCCTCAAGAGGTCTAATTTTTTTTATCCTCACCCAAGGACATTTTTTCATGGCTTCTAGAGAAAGAAGAAGGGAGACAGACATTGATGCAAGAGAGAAGCATCAATTGGTTGCTTCTTTTATGTGCCCAGACTGTGGCTCAAACCCACAACCTACATACATGCCCTGACTAGGAATCGAACCTGAAACCCTTTAGTTCCAGGGCAACACTCCAACCAACTGAGCCACACTGGCCAGGACAAGGGGTTTAATTTTTTTTTTTAATCAAATTCAAAAGTATATATGGTTAAGATGTCAATTTTCTATTTGAGTTATTACATTAGCTAAGACGTTTTGTTTGATTAGATTTGCTTTACTCTCTGGAGACTGGGGCATAAAAAGCCTAACGGCTAGTCTAGTACAACAAAGGAAAATTTTGCTGAAATGCATTAGATTTTAAAATAGAGATTTTTGCCCTGGCTGGTGTAGCTCAGTGGATGGAGTGCCAGCCTGCAAAACAAAAGGTCTCCAGTTTGATTCCCAGTCAGGGTGTGCCACATGCCTGGGTTGCAGGCCAGGTCCCCAGTTGGGGGTGTGCGAGAGGCAACCAATCACTGTATCTCTCACACACTGATGTTTCTCTACCTCTCTTTATCCCTCCCTTCCCCTCTCTCTAAATAAATAAATAAAATCTTTAAAAGAGTGATTTTCACTCAGAAGCAATGAATAGCTAGCTTTTCAGTTTTCTCATTTAATATATGCAACCTACACTCAGATTTACTAAATAAATGCTTGGCTAGACTTCTATACTGGAAAAGGCACAATATATGAAAACAACATCTACCTTTCAAAACTTACATATTATATCTATAATATTCAAAATATATGAAATGTATGATGAACCTAAATACTATAGCTTCAAAGTAAAAAATTTAAAAGGAAGGGAAATAAACATAAAAATTATTTTAAAATATAAACTATAATGGTGCCATAACTGCTACTCAACAATTGCCCAATAATCATTTTAAAATGTTTCGTTGAAATGGATTGGTACATTGTAAGTGAAAGGCATAGGAATACCAGCATTGGAATTGCCTACAGAGATGCTAAAAACAAATTAGAGGAAAGCTTTCATTTCCAAGCAGCCACTATAGTAAAATAAGAAACAACAAAACATATTTATACAGCCTGACTATCCTTTGCCTGCGACTGCACCTGTTACATAAACTAACAAGTTTTATGCTTTGTCTTCAAAAATATTGTTCTTGTCATTTAATGGGTTAATGAGCCTGGCAATATCTCCTTTTTTCCTCTTATCCTTATTATGAATCACTCATACAGTTGCTAACATTAAGTACAGAAAGGTTACTAACATTTTATCAATTATAAGCCACATAAAAATAATTTTGTCTAACCTCATTGTATGTTTTAAGAATGTTGCTTAACTATGTTTAGAAATGTGTCTCACAAGCCTCCTGAGTTTTTGCTACAAATGGAAGGTAGGCTCTGAGAACAACTGCTTTCCCAAAACTTGATGAAATACATACCAAACTGTAGGTGGGTGACCCTCAAACTGACTTTGTTACATAGGAGAAATTATTAGAAACTAAGAATCTATTTGTTAGTACAAATTAAAAATTCACCTAAATGAAAATGCATTTGTCAAGACATTACTTAAATGATAACTGACCAAAAAAAAAGCACCAGTCTTTCACACTCAAGTATTTAAGTAAAACGTCTACCACCTGTTATCAAATGGCTATCTGTATGTCTAGATAGATAGAGCAAACATAGCAAAGTGTTTATCTAGGGTAGAAGCCATTATGATATTCTTTGAACTCTTCTGTATGTTTAAATTTTTAAATAATAAACAATTGAGAAAAACAAGTAAACAAACAAAGCAGCATCTTTAAGAGCACTGACACACCACCAATGGACCACAATTTCATCCTGACAACCAATCATCTAAGTTGTCGTTTTTTATATTTTTAGTGATACAAACCTTTCTCTCAATGAAACCTTATGTGAAAACCCAATATATAAGAAAGATGAAAGAAAAAGTACACTGTTTAAACGAAAGTGGCTAAAGAGTTGACATGTTTCCATATTTCTTTGTTACCAGCCAATCAAGGCAACACACATATCCTTGGTGCTTTGTTAAACATTGTGGTAGACAATTTAAAAAATTTTTTTATTGCTCAAATCCTGAAATCAAATAAAAATTTCAAATAATCTTTAGAATCCAAAAATATTAAGGGCTAAAAATGACTAAAAGTAGTTCAGTCTGTTTCCTTTGACTAAGATTGAAACAGGTTACTAGATGTGTCTAAGATAACTCAGCAAATAGGAGAAACAGAGCTATATCCCAGGTGTCCTAACTTAGCTCCAACTTCTTTTACTTACATCATATATACAGTACTACCACCATGTTTCAAAGAGTCAGTTAGGGCCTCATTTGTAATTAACCTGTTGCTTTAAGATATAACTAGGTGTTAAAACTTAGCAAGAACAAAATGCTATGAAAGGACCTAGGAAGTAGGATTTTACTGTTTTTCTGACCACAAAGTCTGCTGCTATCACCCTGGGAGAACAACTAGGAAATTCCCATTGGAGAATTTATGGCCTCTTCTGCTACCCATTGCACTTGAGGATTTAATTTGCTATTTTTACCTAAGTAAGGGACATAATTTAATTTAGTAAAAATCAATCTTTAAAAAATAAAAAGCCTAAGGTATGGGTAAAGAACAAGAGTATGTAACAATTGGGACAGAACTCCTTTGGCCAAAATTTAAACAAGTGAACTCTCAGTCACTTTAATGTCTAGTGATGGTAAGATAATATGTACTTACCCAAACATCGGGAGCAGTGATACTCAGTGCAGGACAACCAACAGTCACATGACTCATTTTTGTCAGTGATGATTACAACGGAGCTTCAGTCAAGAAATGGACATTACTGGTCTAAAGTTTACTGACCAGGTTAAATTAAATTCAAATTGTAGCACTAAATGTAGCAAAAACTATACAGTATATTTAATGGATAGATAACTAAGTTTGTCTAAAAATAATGCATGCCTAAACTCAAAGTGTAATTTAAATGAAAGAATACCTTGAATAGCTGGGGGACAGATAATCAGCGTCTGCTGAAAAGCATCACCACAACCAAAATGAGCAGTTCCAGCCTGCAGAGGAATTCCATGGTGCACAACTGAATGAGCAGATGTGGTCAATGCCTGAAATGATCAATGCACATGGCACTGTACAGAGCAGTCTTCTATTTGCTACACACGTGCTTTATAAACAGATTAAAACATATTTCTTAAAACCATAATTCTATGATAAAAATGGGTCCAGAGACCAATTCTACTGAACTCTACATAGAGTTGTAGGTAGCACAGAAGGGATGGTAGAGGATATTGAAGGAATGAAAGATGAAAGGAAAAAATGAACTTGGGTAGATATGCTCCAATTGTTACCCTGAAATATCAGAGATTTAAGAGAACAGACATAGGAGACCTAACCGGCACGGTAACTCCTAACTCCTGACATGAGACTTCTGTATACTTCAAAAACAAAATGAGCAATTTTAAAAAGTACAAATTATTAAATTCTTACCTGACTTCTTAATGTGCCAATTTTAGTAAAATTTGCTGTGAGATTAGCAGTACTGTTTGAAGAAACTGGCCTTAAAAGTGAAGTTTTATTGTGATTATTTGTATCACATGAATTTGGGTGGGACTTACAAATATCCATAATATGAAAACAGGACTTTACACTGAAAAAAAAAAAAAGAGTAGAGAAAGAGGTAATTATAATATTTTAGATGTTTAGAGTAGTTTAAAATTAATGTACATTAATTTAAAAATTATTTCCAAAAGAAAAAGATTGTAAGACTTGCACTTAGTCTGCTTACTTCCAATACTTCCAATACTGTTTCTACCAGAAAATCTTACAAGATTGAATTTTAAAGCAAGTAAAAGTGTATCTTATATCTGCAATATTTTTTAAGACATCAAAGTATCAGTAAGCATTTTTTGGCTAGCACACTATTATGTTTATCACTCCCACCCTAAATAATTTCTCTTAAACTTCTAGATCTCCACATCCCTAAATTAACTGTACCAACTATGAAGTTATGTTATTTTTCAAGTGCTTATACATGGAAACCATTAGACATTTTTAAGTGGTGGGGGGGTGGGGTAGAGATAGTAGTCCAACTTGAAAAAAACACCGGTTTTTAAGGATAATCCACAATTGCAGATATTGGTTTATCCATATAATTTCTTTATTCAGTCTTCTTAAAATATTAAAAAAAAACCATTTTAAGTCATTTATTTTACTCCCTTTAGCCCATAAAAAAGAGGTGTGAGATTTAAAGAACTTGAGATATTGGCCTAAGGTAATTCTGATAAGGCCTTCTCAATTTGAGCAAACATTTTTCTCTACTATCCCATTAAAAAAGAAAAAACCAAACCAAACCAAACCAAAAAACCAACACTTCCTTTCTTTCCACAACACAGAGGAGAAAGGAGGAAGGGGAGGGAAGCAAATGGTATTGAAAGGAAATTGAAAATAGAGTTTGCAAGACTCAAAAGAGAAAGAACTGTTAACATTTCCTTCTAGTACATATGTGCACGGTTATAATGGTAGGAATGTCATATAAAAACAAAATCACTCAGTCATTTTCAGTGTTTTAGAAAAAGAACACTGGAATGCAATTGAGATTTGTGTTCCAGTTCTACTCTGCCATTTACTAGCCTATGTAACCTTGGCCAAGTTAGCATGACCTCTTTTGACTCAGTTACTTATATTTAATGACGATATTAAATCATTTTTCTAACAAACTGATTTTTTTTAAAGACAGTATATTATTATTTCTCCAGGACTGTTTTAGCAAATTTTAAGGTAACATACTGGTTGCTATGAGGAAAATCTAGAAGATGTTTCATATTAACAAAAGGATGGTTCAAAGTTTCAGCTGGGGTAATTCTTAAATCTGCATCAATCAGCAACATTTTCTTCAACAGGCTAACAAATTCTCTTCTATCAGCTTTCTCAGCTAAAAGATCACTTCCTTCCAAATCCATCACTGTGTTCACCTGCAAAACCAGAATTTCAAGTCATCAAATAAAAATAAGCCATAGTATATGCTAATGTTTCACAGTTAAAAAAATAAAACACAACATAGGAAAGCACAAAGAACTACAATTATTTTGAAACAAGAAAGGACAGTTGAGCTTAACAAATTCTCAAAATGTTTTCAAGTATCAAATAACGTTCAAAGCAGAAAAAAAAATTTTCACTAAACAAACATCCATTTCTAATGAGGTATAAAGAAATTTGTTTGCTAGGATGTTCCCTTTTAAAGAAAATATTTTTTACTAAAGAACAGGATGGAATAAATAAAATATTTAATAAAGACAAATGCAATTTAGTTCCTAAAATACTAAAATCTCAGAATCAATTTTGTCTGAAAAGGTTAAAAATAGCAAGTATCAATTGTCATTTAGAAAATGATTAACATGTTTTTGCATTTTTGGAAATCAAGTCCACCACCTTCAGCATTAAGATTCACAAATGCAACTGTGGTACTTACATGCACAATATCATCCAGACTGTTGAATATGTACTTTCTGGCTTCTTTAGACTTCATTCCTGTCTCTGCTTCATGTTCTTCTAGTGTCTTATTGAATATATCAAAGATGGAAAATAATATATTATCATCCATCATTTGTAAATTATTTCTTTAATTTTGGCACATTTAGTCTAATATATTGACTATTTTAAGGGAAGTAGTAGTTTCAAAAGAATTACTATCATAAATGTATCTTTTTAAAGTACAGAAAAAATGAGAAGAGCTTAGTTTAGGTTAAAAAAAAAAAAAAAGCAAAAAAAAAAAAATTCCACCACCATATATAACAAACTCCTTAAACAAAATAATTACAAAGTTAATCACTGAGGATTTATTGATCCCCCAAAGATCCAAGAATAAATTAGGTACTTGGGTTAGTACTAAGTGGTTAGATTCAGTCCCTGTCCTATAAAGCTTAAAAATGTAGAACTAGGTAGAGAAGATGAAACACACAACACAAAAGTAATTATACACATAAAATTTTAAATACCATTTAACTTGAGTTAATAGATATGTTGCCAGGTTAGAAATGAACTAAATCATTCAAAAAGGGCCTTCCTCATTAAAAAGGGGGAGGGGAGAGGGAGGATGCCAAAAATGAAAATTCAAAAGAAGAAAAAAGGCAATAAAATAAAATTAAGCCTGGAGGATATTATCCATGCAAATGAGGCATCAGAGATAAATGTTTTTCTAAATATATATCTTTTAATGAATTACCTTTAATCTCCAACCAGAGTGAGAAATATCTGTTTCTCTGCAAAAAAATCTTGTGGATTTTGTACCCACATTTAACAACTGTTCTCCTGGTAAACCTTGAGTCTGAGATATGTATCGAATCTGAAAAATAATTTACAGAACAGAAGGGTTTATTCTTTCATGCCATAGATATTAATTGAACATGTACTATGTATCAGACACTATGCTAAACATCACGTCAAGAATTAAATGATATAGTCAGTGCTCTCAAGAAATTCACAGTCTAGTGGGGAACACACAAGTCAATAATTATAATGCAGTGTTGTAAGTACCTCAATAAATGCCTGCTTCATGGAAAGACAGAGAAGGAATACCTATGATAATTATATCACATAATGTTCCAGAAGAGGTGATGCTCTATTTGGGTCTTAAAAGAACAAGTAAGAGTTTGTTAGCCCTGGAGGAGTGGGGGAAAACCTAATCTATTATGAGTTATGTTAAGATTACAATACAAGTAAATAATGGAAAATCAGGAAAAAATGCCCACATATCCATCTGAAAACATAGAGGGTTCACTGAGGGGAAAAATGGCAAGAGATGAAATTGAACCAGAAGGCAAAAGGACTTATCAGCAGGTTAAGAAGTCTGGAATTTACTCCAGGAAGAAACCACTGGAGACATGTAGGCAGTAACTGACAAGTTACATTTTTAACAGAAGGTCTACAAATGGTGAGCAGATATGGCGAGGGGAGAGATAAGGAAGGCCTGAACTGAAAGACCAAATCAGGAGAGAGAGGAATGAGTAGGTTCAAGGAAGACTCTGATTGATAAAGACTTGGTGAATTCTGACCACGGGGGCATTGGAGGGGACACATCTACCTCACTGGCTTGGTTGAGTCAAGAGAGGAAGAAATACGAATGTGGATGCACTCTCAGAATACTGAAAAGTTCTAGCCTCAGGGCCTCTGAACTTAATCTCCCTCAGTTTGGAACACTCAACCCAAGCACTTGCGTGGCTTATCTTTCCCTTCCTTCAGCTCTCAGCTCAAATGTCACCTTATTCATGAGGCCTTCCATGACCCACCAATAAATAACAAGCTCTCCTCTCTTCAGTACTCCCTATCTTCCTTACTCTGTTTTTTTTAATCACCATGTTTTTTGCCAACTGATATTCTGAATGATTACCTTCTATATTTTCTTACTCCACTCTTCATGAGAATTAATGTTAAGTTTCACAAATGGAAGTACTTTGTTTTGTTTACTTAAATATACACCCATGATAATGTATGATACACAACACGCCCTCAAATATCCTTCCCCAATTTAATGACTGAGCAGCACAGGGGATAAACAGAGGCTTAACTCTAAACTATGTTTGAGAACACAGGGTTCTTAATTTTTTTCAAGCATCAAGGACTCTGCTCTATCAAATAATCCATCTTCTGCATCTTCTATTTCTTCCTCTCACAGATCTTTCCACTCAATTTACAAAAATGTTTAATATATTCTATCACCCCCCCATTGCCCTTAACTATTTAAAACTCTTTTCTCATTCACTTAAGAGCCTTAAAATAGTTACCTATATTTTACTTCTCATGTCAACACACTACAATCTGAATATTACTATTACTCCCTGATAAGGTACTAAGATAAGTAATGGTCTATTAATAATTGACACATTTAATAGTTACATATTAATCCTTATTCTACTGATACTATTAGCTATTACCTTCTTACTTAAAAACTCTGTTCCTTCCATTTCCTTTTTTTCTGGTTCTCTCCCTTATTCCTGACAGTCTTTAACTGCCTTCCTCCATTTGTTCTTTATATGACAAATGTTGTGTTTCAGAGTTTTATATGTCGTCTTTCCTTCTGCAAGCTCCAATGCCCATAGTTTTATCTCTAACTCTGTATATAAATATTTTTCACTTGCTCTGGACCTGTAGATTCAATTGTTTATTGAAACTCCCCAACTAGCTGACCTTTAGGTACCTCAAAGTGAGCATATCCTAAATTGATTTTGCCTTAAATCTGTTAATCCTCATGTTTCCCCCGCTTGATGAACAGCAACCTAAACACACAAATCAGAAACCTGAAATTTATGACAGACAAGTACCTCTCCCTCATCGTCCTCCCCACAACATCCAAAATCCTAACAACTTTACCTTATTAGTTTTTTTCATAACAGCCTCTCCTCTCCATCCATATTTCAGGTCTCCTTTAATCCTGAGATAAACAATTTCACAAGCCTCCTAATCAGTACAACCACCTCCCTAATGACTCCATCCACTCACTCACAATTTATTATTCACACGAAGAACAGCCGTTTTGCTAAAATGCAACTCTGACCATCACTCACCCTGTATAAAATTGCTTTACTCCCTAGAGAATGATTCCAAACTTCTAATCATGGCATGCAGGACCCCAGCTTAACTCTCCCCTGCTCTATGCATGTCCCTGTGCCACACCAGATTTTGAATAGGCTAGTTTCTCTTTCCTAGATTGCTCTCTGGCTCCTACTTCATGCTCCCCTGTGCAGGCTGCCCCACTTCACCAAATCCATGCGACCAACTTTTACTATTCCCTCCTCAAACCTCAGTTCAAGGGTTTCTCCTCCGAAAAGCGATGCCTAACCATCCTAAAGAGAGGTGATGACTTTTCTTCTGCGCTACCATCACACCTGCAACACATCAATGTTAATGTCTCCATAACACTGCATTACAATTATTTTTCAATATATGTTTTCTCTACTAGACTATGAGTCTTCTGACAACAAATTCTACGTTTACATATTTGTATCCTCAGTTTTACATGAAATAACTAAAATTTCCTCCTTACAAATTAGTTTCATTTCATTAAAGTGTGGTGTTTTCCCCTCACCCCACATTTCCCAAGTGGCTGAGTCCCTTGTTTCATGGGAACAGAAAATATAAAAGTACTAAGAGTTTAGTACCTAGATGCTACATAAGAGTCTCAGGCTGTAGGAAAGCTATTCAACAATTCAGTTTCAAGAAACACATACAAAGCATTTATCATGAGTGAGATACTAAAGAAATGCAGATGAATAAAATATGGTGCTAATCTTCAAAAGCATATAATCCAGTAGAACAGATAAATATTTAAGCACATACTCTGCAATTAGGCTAGGAAGTGTCATTATGAAAAAGAAAACAAAGTGCTAAAAGAACAGAGAATAGAGTATCTAAGAAGTTGGTAAGGCACTGAAAACTAAACAAAAAGCATCAAGTGAACTTGTAAGTTTATTTTTTTATCACAATGCCTGCCCAATCTTTTGAAGAGGAATTGTCTCATGCATAACCTCTAATATATGAGTGGGTGAAGGGTAGGAACCTGACTCAGGAGCAATTAATTCATAAACTGGCCTTGTGAACTCAAATAGAAATAACCTAAGCAAATCTGATTTACAGTATCAGGAATGTGAATAAGAAATACTAATTACTGTTTCGGGATGAGCTGAAGGGTGATAAGGCAGAGCTGGAGTTTGATGGCCATGCTAACCTAACCGAAGTGAAGAGTGAGTAGAGACCTGGCCAAGCAGCTCACTTCGGTAGAATGTCAGCAGGACGGGCCAACTTCAATCTCCATTCAAGGCACGTTAAAGAAGCAACTTGAATGCATAAATAAGTGGAACAACAAACTGATGTCTCTCTCTCTGTCTCTGTCTCTGTCTCTGTCTCTCTCTCTCTCTTCCCCTCATAATCCCCTTCCCTTTTCTCTCTCCCTAAAATTGATAAATTTTAAAAAAGGGTAAGCAGAGACCTCTGGTCAGGTTGGCGGCATAGGTATTGGGACTTGCATCATCCAACAACCACATCTAAATTACAACTAAACTACAGAACAACCTCATTCCAAACCACCTGAAATCTGGCTGAATGGAAGTCCTACAACTGGGGAATTAAAGTGGAAGACACATCAAGACTGGTAGGAGGGGCAGAGACATGGAATGGGTCGGTCCCACAACCACCTGTGGCAGATAAAAATTGAGAGGGGTATCTGGGCTACAGAGGTCCCTCCCAGAGGAGTGAGGGATCCCAGCTCCACAACAAACCCCCCAGACCAGGGTTGCCAGGAAGAGAAGTTCCTATAACTTCTGGCTGAGTGAATCTTAAAAGGACCAAGTGAAAAGCAGTTGGTTACCTACAAGGCAGCTCCCCAGAGACTGTCAACAGATTTCTCAACAGAAACTTTACAGGCCACAAGGGAGTGGCAAGGAATATTCAAAGTGATGAAAAGCAAGGTATAACCAAGATTGCTCTACCCTACAAAGTTCTCTTTTAGAATTGAAAGACATATTAAAGAGCTTCCCAGATAAGACAAAGCTAAAGGAGTTCATCACCACCAAACCAGTATTATGTGAAATGTTAAAGGGCCTTCTTGAAGAAGAAGAAGAAAAATAAATAAATAAATAATATTAATAATAAAATGGCAATAAATACATATCAACTGAATCTAAAAAAATAAATGAACAAGCAGAACAGAAACAAACTCACAGATACAGAGACCATTTTGATGGCTTCCAGAGGGGAGGCGCATTGGGAGGATGGGTGAAAAGGGTGAAGGGATTAAGTAGTACAAATTGGTTGTTCCAGAATAGTCATGGGGATGTAAAGTACAGCATAGGGAATATAGTCAATAATATTCTAATAACTATGCATGGTGTCAGATGGGTAGTAGATTTATTGGGATGATCACTTAGTAAGTTAAATAATGTCTAATCACTGGGGTATCACCTGAAACTAATAAAATAGTGTACATCAACTGTAACATGTTTAAATGATTTTTAAAGTAAGAGCAGAAACTCTAAGTGGCAAATTAGAATCAGAACAGATAAAAGCACTGAAAAGCAGTGAAGTCACACTTGTGATCTAGCACCAGAGTGAAGCTTTACCAGTACCTATTAATCTATCTAGTCTTGCCTTGAATTCAGAAGTACCTACAATTCCAGATTTCACAAAATCTAGTCATATCATAGCTCCTCTCCTGGATTATTTTGATAGTCCACACAGAAATAAATGAACTTGAAACCTTGAGTAAGTCTCTTTGCAATTCAAATACTTGACAAGACAGAATCCTTTGAAGATTCCCACCACCAACCAGGAGGTGAAATAGTGAACTTCATTAAGATATGATTTGAAATTACCGAGCATCATAATTTGAATATCAATTCAGACACTTAGCTCTTCTAGAGAAGATTCTAACTGAACTCCAAAAAACACTTGAGAGGAACAATCAAAACTTATCAAGCAAATATTGGCTGTCCATCAAATCCAAAATTTAAAGAGAAAATTGCCAAAGAAAGGCTTCAAGAGATGATAAAGATGATTAAAGGGCTAGAACAAAAAACTCTTAATGAAGAACTAAAATAACCTGAATACTTTTTCCTGGTGACTCAAATCTAACTTTCAAGTATATAATAATTATAGGTCTAAAGTTAACTCTTTTCCACCTCTTTTGGAAAAAAAAAAACAACAATATTGCATTAGAAGGTTAAATAAAGGTTAGACATAAGAAATATCAACAATACAGTTTCCTCATTTGTAAAACAGAAACAATAGTAGTATATATACCTCATGGGGTTATTTTGAGCATTAAATGAGTTAATAGAAAGTGTCAAGAACAGTTCCATAGAAGAGCTCAGTATGTATCATTACTAATAGTAATATTGCCCACTGTACTGCCATTGCAGGCAAAAAACTAAATCAATGTACACCTGAAACCTATATGACCCTATGAAACAATGTCACCCGGAAATTTATTTTTTTTAAAAAGCATAAATTAAATAAAATAAATTAAAAAATAGTGACAATACCCCAACTGGATATTCAATTATATCAGGGCAGCCGATGACTTGTATAGGAACAGATAACAGAGAGAGGCAAACCCTAAGAATGGCCCTTTCACATTCCAATTAGGGGGGAAGTGTATGAAATTCAACCACATTAATAAATAAAGTTAAAAACAACCAAAAAAAGCGAACATTTTAATAGATGCATAAAAGGATTTGAGAGTCCAAAACCAATTCAGGACTTTTTTTAAAAAAATTTGAAAATTAGAACTAGAAAGTGCTCCCTTTTCTTGAAGAGACGTTTATCAAAGCTTATGTAGCAAACATCATATTTGAAAATGAGCATAAACTCTAAAATTGGAACCAAAGCAAGGATATTCATACCATCGCTCCTATTTGTTTGCATTCATATACTTTAGAAAATAATTTTTAAAATACTGAATTGATAACTGTGCAACTATCGATGCCATGTGTTCACAATTTTTTTCAATTACTGTACCCCTTTGTAATTAAAGTAATATACATTTTGAAAATACTGTTAATCTGGGCCAGATTAACAGTTTAAATTCCATTATAGAATTTAGAAAAACTGAATTTTGGGCAGGTCTTTGTCTTAAATTACCACCATAACTTTTGACAAACCATTTTACTTTCTTGACCCTCAGTTCTCTCCTTTATAAAACTGGAAGGGGACAGGGGTAAGCAATGGGGGAAAAAGTGGGACAACTATAATTGAACAACAATAAAAATTGGAAGGGGCAATAATTACAAAATCCGTAGGGTCATTTTCAGTAGCAACATCAGTGGTCTGAGACTAGAACTGTCAAGTCCAAATCCAGAATATAATAACAAATAACTTGAAATTGTCACAAGGTGGTATCCTGTTCCAGAGCAGTATACACATCATAAATTGTAGTATACAAAGTCAAAGGCATATTTCTAGCATTCAAATGGCACCTCAGTACTTGAACAGCTAAAAATTATGGGACTCTCAAACTAAATCACCAACTCTTTCAAAACTACAGTTTAGCACCTGCATCAAAGTTAGGGGTTGGGTAAAAGCTGAAAATAGCCAGTATGTATGGAAATTTTACAGAAACTGTCTTTTAAGATATATGCTGAATGAAGGAGCGAAGGCAAAAACTACAGTAAATCTGGCCTAATAAGTTTTGTGGGTAGAAATCATTTGAAGAAGGAAAGAGATTAATGTTAATAATTATATCTAATTTAAGAATTAATAGTAAATGACTTAGCATCATCTCAGCACCATTTACGTCACCAAATTAGCTACCTCTCACATCACTTTTTCTTAATTTAAAAAAGATTTTATTTATTTATTACTAGAAAGAGGGGAAGGGAGGGAGAAAGAGAGGGAGAGAAATATCAATGTGCAAGAGAAACAATCGGTTTCCTCTCACATGCCCCCAACTGGGCACCTGGTCGACAAACCCAGGTACGTGCTCTGACTGGGAGTAGAACCAACAACCTTTTGGCTTGCAGGCCAGCATTTAATACACTGAGCCATACCAATAAGGGCTCATATCCCTTTTGATATAGAATGCTCTGCCCTCAAAATCAGAAATAACATACATTTTATTGTTACAATTATGTCATATGTGCTTTAAAATGTTCTATTTTCTATTTTTTATGCCTAAAAGTTAAATAGTGTATCTTTTAAATAAAAATTGTATTTCCCCACTAAAAGTCAATTACAAAAAGACAACCACTTTGTTAATTTTGACTAACATTTTCCACTAAAATGAGTTGAGTATGTGTATCTCTCTAATAAGGAAGGTGTTATGAAAACTCTCTCAAATAATAGTAAGGCTCAGAATTACTCCAAAAGAGAATCTTCATATTTACTCCAAAAGACAATCTTCATATATAAAATCAAGAAAATAGCAAACTACATTGCCTGCTAGCTTAGAGAGGCTAATGAACATACTTGAAAATTATCATGAAAAGTGTCTAAAGAGGTAATTTGCTGGATTCCACTGAGAATCATTTAAATAATGTTAAACTAGACTTTCCACACCATTCAAAATCAGCTAAAAATACTAAGGAGAGTTCAGGTGACTGAGGCACTTAAGATTAAAAATGGTTGTTGGTTTAAGAACAGTAGTTATATGATACCTTTTATTCCTTGGAGGAAGCTAACATTTCATCTATCATCAAAGTCTGCCACCCAAGCACGGCACTATTACTTAAATGGACATAGTCCAGCAATTTATATGTCTGTAGCCTAAAAACGATGCAAAAAATTCTCCCAAGAGTTTTACAAAACTGGTTTTTGGGCTGTGGATTGTGATTTTATTTATGAAATTTACTTAATGTTATAAAAGAGTTTTTAAAAATCAAATACAGTTTTGAGATCCTGAATTTAAAATCCACAAGATCTCAGGTCTTGCCATTTAATTATTTATTTTTTTAAAGCCACTTAACATTTTATTTTCATCCACAGTTTTCATATTAATATGAAATATCCATGGTCACATATGCATGCATATGAGCACACACACACTCACTAGAAGAACACTATTCTGATTTATTACCTATTTTATACTTCAGTGTATATTAGAGAACATGCCACATTCTTCACATTTTAATAGTATCATTGTGTGGTAGTGATATGACTATGAATAAGTAATAGTTTAGCATGTGATACAGTTTCAGTCATTTGCTTCTGTGAATATAAGATCTATCAACATTCTTGTAACTATATGTTACATTTTATTATCTATTTAAATTAATTCATTGAAATGAAATGGTTTAGACAAGCAAAATGTACATTTTAAAAACTGTTTCTAAAAGGTGCCAAATAGACACTCTGGAAAAATTACCAGTTTTTATTCCATTTATACATGTAGAACAGAATCCATATAAGTTTATTATAGTCAGTAATGAAAATTGCAACCTATTTGATTTTTATTATTAAATAATAAAATATAACACATGGGCATGTCTTGTGTACCTAAAGAAATGCATTCCTATTCCTATTAGTCTATTGTCTCTCTTTACAGTCTACCAATTCTACTAGATTATCATGACAGTTCTGTTACCTGGTCATACTCCAAGGCTCCTGGGTAGAGCGGCCATCCAAGGAATAATTCTGCAATCACGCATCCCAATGACCACATGTCTATGGCTTCACAAAATGGCAACCCCAATATAATCTCTGGAGCTCTGAAATATAAAAAAAAACAACAAAACAGAATGATACTCCTTTAAAAGTATTTGATTTCATCAGACATTCTAAGAAAGGTTGGTAAAATGACAAAAAAAAAATCACCTTCTATTTATAGTAACTTCACTTTTCAGAACTCTTTGAAACCTAGCCTTAACTCTGAATTAAGCTTTAAAAGAGACTGTAAGTACAACATCATTATGATAAAATCTCTACACTTAATCCTCATATTTCTATTAATATAACATTAAGAAAGGAAAAAAGCATAGACTTGTTTTTGAGACTATAACAGATTAGAAGTAACACATAAGAAAAAAACTGGCAAACTATGAAATACATGCACTATGACATCAACAAAATTAAAATACAGACTTTGAAAGATAAGACCAAAACAAAATAAAACCCCAAAGGCTAGAAGTGGATCTGGACCTAGACAATATTTCAGAACACAATAATGAATATTCCCATAATTAGGGCCATTAATCATCCAAAAGAGACAAGACCAAGTTCAATGTATTCTGCTTTAAAAGGCAGAAAAGTAGATGATATATCAAAACAGGTAATAAACATTTCAGCACTTAAAGAGCTTTAATAATTTAGAAAATGAATTCCATTAAAGATATTATTCCCAGATAAATGATGCTATTTCACATGGCTTTCCCATGAGAAGATCAAGATTCCAAGAGAGACTCCACATACAGCTGTGTAACTCCAAAGTCAGTCATACAATCAGTTATACCAGAGTTGCATGTGCATGTGTATATTTGCTATTTTTAAAACAATCTCAAACTTAGAGAATTTGTAAGAATAGTATAATGAAAAATATTTTCCTGAACCAGTTGGAAATAACTTGCCAAATAATGTATATATTTTGTATTTCCTACAAATAAGAATATTCTCCTAAATAAGCAAAAAACAATCAATAAAATCAGAAAATGAACATTGATATATCTCTATATCTAAGCCTTGGGCTCAAAGTTTGGCCACTTATATTAAGGATGTCCTTAATAGCAAAAGGATCCAATTCAGAATTATGCATTGCATTTAGCTGTCTTATCTTTTTTAGTCTTTTTTGATAAGGAATAGGTCCTCAAGTCTCTTCTTCTATATTTCTATAACCTTGACTAAGATTTTACAGACCAGTTAATTATAAAATGACCCTCCCCCTTAGGTGGGTCTGATGTTTCTCATAATTATATCTGGGTTATAAATCTTTAAGAGGAACATTACAGAATTGATGTTTTCTCACTATATGCTATCAGATGGCATACAATTTTGATTTGTTCCACTGCTAATAATGTTCACTTTGATTAACTGATTAACATGGTGTTTACTAGATATCTCCACTATTTTGTCTCACCTTTCGCCTCTGTAAGTATTTTGTGGGGGTTCAGTTTGAGACTATATGAATAATCCTTTCCTTATCAAACTTTCAGGTTATTCATTTATTTGCCTATGTGACTATAGAGTAATGGATTCCTACAGTAGTCAATGAATTATAATCCATTATTATAATTATTTCTTTTGATTCTCTAATTTTCCCAGACTTAGCTAGTTAGAATTCCCTCAATGAGCTATGGGTCCTTATTTCTACTGGAATAGCATTGTTTCCAGGCTCCCTCAGCATACATATTATATACAGTTACACAAAATAAAGCTGCTAGTTTCTTTAACTGAGACTACTATGCTGATAGTCACTATCTCCTAACGCAGTAGTTCTCAATCTTGGCTGCACATTACAATGACTTGGTCCTGGTCACTCCCCATAACAATTAGAACAGAAACTCTGGGGATGGGACTTAGGCATCAGTATTTTTTAATGTTCCAGGGGTGAATCCAATACATGCCAAGGATGAAAACCAAACCCCTAACCTCAAGTAGTCAGACCAATGGGAAGGCTATTCCATCTCCTTCTTCCAGCACTTTTAATCAGAATACGTTCAGGGATAATAAACAAGTTGTTTTCTATCCTAGACTTGGGATCTGTCCAGTGACTCATCCACTCCTGGATATCTCCGCTATAATAATTAAGATTCCACAGATCCTTAATCCACAAGCATTTTTCCCCTCTAAAAAAAATAAATTATTTAAAAATGTTATATTCATGGAAGCAAATTCAAATTTCTCATTTTAAAATATGAAAAAAGTTTAATTGGAAGTTTTATGCAATTTTATTATATATTATTGTCCATTTGGATCCTGTGAGAAGCAGATCAGATGTGCAAGAAATTTCTTGGAGAAGATGCCTGTGAAGGATACAGGGAAAGGAAGCAGGAGTAGATGAAGAGACTGCTCAGACCTTGAGCAGTTCTGATACCTGTGAAAGATGAGTTGGGTAGAAAGAACCACCAACTGCAGTGCTGAAGAAAGTCTGGCTGGACCAGTGGGAAGTTCCCCCATCAAGCAAACTCAGCCCAGCTCTAGTGCACCCACTATGTTGGATACTGGCTGGGAGCAGCCCAGAGGAAGTATGGCTGCTGCCCAAACACAGACACACATTTGAAGGTGCAATCGCTGGAAACTCTCAGTCAACTGTACTCCTTGAAGAGGTTTTCTTGAAAGGGGAATCCAAAGGACACAACCCCATGGCTGCCACAACTGCCTTCCCAACACCTTTTGTATCTTTTTTATGTATATAAAAACCTTTTGTGTTTTCTTTCTAAGTACAGAAACCTTTTGTATTTTATGATATATATGTATTCTATAATACACAGAATATATATGTATTCTATAATACATATATATCATAAAGAAAATGCAATAAATTTCTTCATCAAGTCCCACTCAAATGTGCCCAAATTCTCTCCAGTTTACCTTAGTATGTCACAAAATATTATCATTTTCTGTGTGTGTTATTACATCTAAAAGGTTGGGATGCAATACCTTAAAGCACTTATAATCTATTAGCAATTTTCAACTATATAATCTATAGCAATTTTCAAAACATGCAATACCTGACTATTTGGTCAAGGACCCCTTTTCCCTTAGATTGTCAAATAAAAAATTGACAATAGCCAAAACAATAGCCATCTGGTGTGAATGAATCAAAATTATACCTATTTTTTGTCAGATAGGGAAAAAAACATAATATTTTGGTGGGCCACAGAATTTTAGTAACTTTTTATGTGTGTCATGAAATGAAAAAGGTTGAAAATCACTGATATACATGAAACTCAGAGATGTCAGAGTTCTACCAGCCAGTCTTACAATAAAATAAACTCTAAAAATTAAGACTATGCATGAAAGAATACTATATCCACCTGTTAGTAAGGAATAAAGCTTACTTTATTAGTTACATCTTAATTGGCTTTCAAATTCTTCCCCTGGGCTAAATATACTTTTGCATAAAGACAGTCATAGCAGGGATTCTGGTATGTGGATCACTCTCAAAATAAATCTTCTGTTCTACACCTAAAGGAAGTTCTCCTACTTCATTTTTAATCTACCTTCACTCCCTTCTAAGCACCAACAATGTGGCAGTGCTAAGGATATAGCAGGGAATAAATATCACTTGAACTTTTGCAGAACAGGCAAGGTACACATTAGACATGTTTACTGAATGGAGAGTATAAATAAACTTGTTGTTTACCACTCTATCGCAGTTAGAAGGCAAGTGTCAAAACCACAAACAAACTAAAAAATTGAGGTCCTATGCTAATAAAGGCAATCTCTATGTTAAATGCTTTGTTTGTTTCTTTCTTTTTGCAATGTGCTTTTAATTAAATGTATCATTATTCATTAAGACCAAATCATTTCTCCTCCAAAACCTTGAAACATTGATATAAAATAGAAAGTGGGTAAGCTGAAAAGAAATTTTTTTTTTAAGTGGGCAACTGAACTCTAGATGGCTTGCAGGGGACTTGTGCTAGACACCAAAAGAGAATGTTGGCAGTAGAAGCTTCAAATGAAACCATAGTGAAGTACTGTCACTGAAAAAAGATGACTATTAATGGAATGTTTTCTTTTCTTTTATTTCATTTTTATTTACTTTTTTAAGGTGAAAATTGAACTACTGACAGAAGAAACCCAGCCTTGTTAGAAAAAGGGGTATCTCAGTTCAGAAACTCACTGTGTTTAGTTTCAGGAACAATTACGTTCTTATAATAGAGATGGAAGCCTTAGGTTATCACAAATGCCATTGAAATCTGAACTCATGTGATGATTATATGGACATCAAGAAAATGGCGATCATAATTTGGCTCCTAACTTAGTTTTTCTACATACAGAGAATATATCAGTTAGGCCAACATGTAATGCTGCTATTCTTCAGCTTCTTATGACTCCAGTGACAGAACAACACAAGTCTGGTCAGGTCTAGGACATCAATCAAATAATTTCTGAAATGAGAAAGCTGATGATTCTCTCAGGTAACATCACTCAGTAAGACTAAAAGGTGCAGCCATCTAGGATTTTATTAATGATACTCTTGTACAAATAAATATCCACATACTTCTCTCTACCTTTGACAATAAGATACCAGAGAAATGCAGCAGAAACTTGAGAATGGTCAACTCAAAAAAATAAATAAAAATACTAAAACACGGATAGTCTTCTCTGAGGTAGAGAAAGATGCAGAAGGTATTTTTTTTAAGTAACAGTTTTATTAAGATATGATCCACATACCATATAATTCACCCATTTAAATGGTAAAATTCAAGGGTTTTTAGTAAGTTCACAGAATTGCACAACCATCACCACAGTCAATTTTAGAACACTTTTACTATCCCCCAAAAAACCCCTATATTCATTAGCAGTCACTCATTTGTCACAAACTTCCCCATCCCTAGGTCACCACAAATCTACCTACTGTCTCCTTAGATTTGTCTATTCTGGATATTTTATACAAAGGGAATCATACAATTCGTGGTCTTCGTGATTTCATTCTCTTGGCATGTTTTCAAAGATCAACCACACTGTAGCATGTATCAGTACTTCATTAACTTTTATTGCTGAATAGTACTCCACTGTATGGATATGCAACATTTACTTACCCATTCAT